TTATACATATCAAATAATTTGTTTTAGTTCAACACTTAAAATTTTATTAAACAAATTTTTAGATTAAAAAATTTAGCATTTCAGTACTTAATTTTTAATTTTTAATTTTCAATTTTATCAAATAGTAACTAAAGTGAGGTTGCATATAATCTAAAGAGGATGGTTGAGCAATAAAAATTTGATAATAAAATTTAAGGTCTCGGATTCGAGTCTTCCCAAAAATCATTGGAGATTTGTCCAGTCATTAATTTCAGGGTCTTGAGGAATTAGTTCTCTATTGTTCAAAATATGAGATAACTCGGGGCCAATCGAATTGGACTGGGCAGGAGATATATTCAATTATAAAAATAAAATTAAAAAAAAAGAAAAAGAAAAGAAGAAGTGAGGCTGCACATCTAGTCCATTTATAATTGTCGACTAGGGCTTTTCGCTAATTGATTACTGTCTAGTCCATTCATCTTTGATTATTTCCAAGTTGAAAGCTACTATGTTTTTTTTTTTGACTTATAACAATGGTAAGTATCATGAAAAAATTTTCACGAAAATAATTATAAAATCTTTGTGACTCTTAAATTACACTTAAAATAAAATATCACATACTAATCAAGTTAATTCAAAAATCATAAATTTTTTATAATCATTTCTATAAAAAAATTTTCATAATGCTTAACTTTTCTCTTCGAATTATGCTTATTTGTTGTTCATATATCATTGATTTTGATTGCCAAAATAATAAAATGCCAGCGATGTGTGCATGCATGTAAGGTCAAACCGACCTGTTCAAGCCAATCACATCCGATATATACTAATATGAAAAGACAGTATAATTCATGATGCTTTGCTTGAAACTTTGCATAATTTAACCAAAAATGCTTCGGACCCCGCTGGGGGTCGACCCTCAGTGAAGTGGCGCGCTGTGATTGAATAAAAAAAAAAATTATTTTATTTATTTATTTATTTATTTTTGAGTTTCGGCCAGTGAAGACACACCATCTCACTGGGGTACGACCCCCACTAGAGTCTGCAGCATCATTGTAATTTAACTTGTAATACACACACAAAGTGGAAGAGAGAGAGAGAGGGGAGGCTTCTACTACCACTACATTAAACCATGCAATATAATTACTAAAGCTAGAAGAGTAAAAAATATGTATTAATTATTAACTAATCAAATTACAATTATATATGCCATGGGGGGGGGGGAAGAAAGGTCAACTGTACCCATATATATGTATACTTTATCTTTTAATTTTTTACTATATAATTGTTTAGGGCAGCTGAGGGAATAGTGACTTTTGCTATTAGTAAAGGTTTTGTAGTTTAATGCATCTATTGATTGTACATTACTCTGGTAAAATTCATCAGTTTCTTGGAAAAAAGTTAAAAAATAAAAACATATATATATGTATATATATCTATATATATAAAAAAAAAATGCATCTGTTTGCCTTTCCCTGTAACTCCATCATTTACCTGGTGCCTATATTTAGTTAATCTTGCATAAATGGTCTAACCTGATTATGTCTGTAAAAAATTACTTGTCATTCAAAATAAAAGGAAGAAAGTTTTCATATTTTTGAAAATTAAAGGTTAGGTGGTTAAACCAATGACTGTTTTCTTTAAAAAATTTAAGTTTGTTCTAGAATATGTATCTTTAAATAAATATAATATATGCAAATGTCAGCAAATATTATCCAAGCCTCTCGAGTCAAAATGGCTTGAGTGACAACAATCCATCAATTTCCATTTTGTTTGGTTATCTCTAAAAAAATTTCTTTTCGGCAAAAAAAAAAAAAAAAATGTTTAGTGGCCCCAATTTATATGGTTCAAATGGTTCGAATGTGTCAAAAGAACGTCGTTTTACACTTAAAATGATGTCGTTTTAAGTGTTTCAAGTCATTCGAGTCATGAATTTTCGAATCACCTATCATTATTAAAAAATAAACTAAAAAATCGTTGCCAAAATCTTAGCTCATCACTTGTCAAGAAATGAATTGCCCCTTTTAGCAGGTGAGACTACAGAGGTTGTAAGGATATGTATATGTATGATTATACAGTCGAATAGTCAAACTTGTCCAAAATTGAGAAGCTAACAATAAATGGAGTGAGATTTGGGGTTTCATTAGATACACACATGTGCACCTCCAGAACATAGTTTTTTGAATTCTTGTAGAACGTGAGTAATAATACAATATGATTTTGTGAGTTCTTCATAAGGATATAGAGATAGAATTCTAGTATTATATTGTTAACAGTTGACTCTGGAGAAGTGATGAAAAGGGAACAGTTCATTCACAAAACAATATACTATGATTCAAATTATTTGAATTCAGTGATAATACAAGAACAACTCTAGGTATTCACAAAAGGGTTTGGCTTACAATTAGAGACAAGTATTCATAAAAAATATTTAAGAATCGGCAAATACAGTAGTTAAAAAGTCATTTTGAAAAGTCAAAAAAATGAGTTTTTAAGGATAATTTTAAAAATATTACTAATAAATACAATTTTAAGGACAAAACAATTTGGTTCCAAAAGATTTATTTTTTAAGACAACACTTTTGGTCCTAAAAGGTTAGTAATTCATCATTGTCGACTAAAATTAAATAATAGTACTTTTGGTAACAAAAATATTTTGTTTTTAAGAAGTGATTTTGTTTCTAAATTTTTATCTCTAAAATCTTAATTTGTTTTAGGATCAAATTGTCATCTTAACTTAAGAGAACGTTTGGGCTTGGTAAGCCCATTTTGAGACCAATTTTAATAATCTGAATTATTCATTTTTTTAAACTCTCAAAAAATAAAATGATTGGGCATTGATAGTCATATGTTTAAATCATATTTCTTTTTAAATAAAAAAAATGGACGACAAATATAATTTTAAGAATAGCCATCAATTTTTTGTAATACAAATTTGATTCAAATATGTAGTTATTGATATCCAGTCATCTTATTTTTTGCATGGATATTCTATTTACTGAATCTTAAAAAATGAATGGTTTGAATTACCGAAATTAGTCCCAAAATGAGTCTGCTAAGTCCAAACTCTTTCTCAAATTGAGATGACAAACTTGAAAGAAGTCAAATCCTTCACGAGATAAAGAAAAATGCTTGGGAGCACTAATTTGGTACCACCAATCTATCTCTAATGACATAAAATGAACCACGTGAAGGTGTAGGCTCACATTCTTCTCTCTATCTCTCTATTTCCCCCCCCTCCACGTCATTAAAAGTAGATTAGGTGCCATATTGGTGGAATGTAACATGGTTACCAAATATAACACAATAAAATGTGGATCATATTTATGAAATAACTTGCACAATATCAAGTTTAATATGTATCACACACTTTATTTTTGGGATAAATTTTTTGGGATACTTTTTGGGTGCATATATCCCTATTCATATCAAAGTTAGGGTTTGCTTGATGCAACTTTTCTAAAATTAAAAAGATTTGGTTTCTTTTAAGTTGACTATCTCATAATGTTTGAGATTTGTAGAACTATTTTTTAACCAATTTTGATTATCCGAATCGTTCAACTTTTAGGATTTCTTAAGTAGAATGTTCATAAAAAAAATCAAAATGATAGAACATTGGTATCTATATACTGGAATCATTTTTGTATTAAAAAAATAAATCGCTATTTTTAAAATTATAATTGTCTTCCATCTTTTTAAAAACAAATATGATTTAAACAATTACTGACATTCAATCATTTTAATTTTTTACATGAATATTCTACTCAATAAATCTTAAAATGTGAATAGTTTGGATCATCAAAATTGGCTCTAAAATGAGCTACCAAGTCCAAATGCTCTCTCAAGTTCAGATGATAATTTAAGAGAAACCAAACCAAAATAAAAATTGATAATTAGAAGACAAAAATTAAAAGATTAGGAGGCTTTTCTCAAATTTAAAATCTAAACTTATCCGTCATGTTAAAACTTGTGGGGATCAACCTAGCTTTTTTAGAATAATATATATAAAAAAATTTATAAAACGAACAATTTAAATTATCAAATTCAAATTTTGAATTGAAGTAAATCTCGTTCCTATTAAAGAATAATTTGAACTTGACTGAATCTCCCTCCTATTAAAAAATATACTAGCACCCTTAACGTACGAGAACTGAAACAATTTCCGTCCAGCATGGCAATGAAATAAATGCAATGCCTCATCGTATCGCATGACCACATCAGGTGCTGAGATCTGTCCATTTAAACATCAGTAATCTTAGGTATCATAAAAAATTTTTTATGAAAATAATTATAAAAAATTTGTGACTTTTGAATTACACTTAAAATAAAATATCACACTAATCAAGATAATCTAAGAATCACAAATCTTTCATGATCATTTTCATGAAAAGTCTTTCATGATCCCTAACATTTCTCGACACTCGTAAAATAGTTACAGAGTATTTATTAAATAGTAATATAGAATGTCAATTGTAATGCATTACAGTACATATATTTATTGATCACAATTATTTTAGGGGTAGTCACATTTTGCCAATTTTAAGAGTTTGGGTGGGAATTGATTTTTTTTTAATTTTTTTTTTAAATGTAAAAGTTAGATTCACTTTTGAAACTCAATTATGTGTGATGGTCTATTAGAATATTTAAGATAATTTTTTCTTATATTTTTTCTAATCATTAAAAAAAAAAAGACTAAATGAGTTGATTTGTTTTAAATAAAATGTATTGTTCCAACACGCAATATAACTCATTTTGTATTGATTAGGGGTAACCTTTTCATTATAAATCATTTTACTTTCATGACTCATTACATTTTTCTTCTTCTCTTTTTTTTGAATAAGGTTAGAAATTATGAAAATGATTTTGAAAGATTTTCCATTCTTGAATTACAAATATAATACATTAATTAAAAGATGAAATTTTTTTATAAAACATTTCATGACATTTTTTTTTCATAATTTCTAATATTATTGTTTTAAATAATGAAAGCATATCAATCTTGTTCACTTAACAATCCAAGAATCCACTTCCAAGTCAACTATGAAGTTCGTGTCCTAGTCTCCCCTACAAAATTGTGTATATATTCAACACAAAACACCCCCACATTAACCATAAACAAATTCCCAACACAATTATTCTACACTCTCAAATCATTCACACACAAAACACAAACACAAACACAAAGGCATGGTGTTTTCCGGCAGTGACGGTGGTTGCGCCACCACAAACAACCTAGCCCTGCAAGTACTGGCAGGTCGATGGTTCATGGTATTTGCCTCATTCCTCATCATGTCAGCCGCCGGAGCCACCTACATGTTCGGACTCTACTCGAACGTCATAAAAACCTCCCTGGGATACGACCAAACCACCCTCAACCTCCTCAGCTTCTTCAAAGACCTCGGTGGGAACGTGGGAGTCCTGTCGGGCCTCATCAACGAGGTGACCCCTCCGTGGGTCGTCCTCTCCATGGGCGCTCTCCTCAACTTCTTCGGCTACTTCATGATCTGGCTCGCCGTCACAAAAAAGGTCTCCACCCCCCAAGTCTGGAAAATGTGTCTCTACATTTGTATTGGGGCTAATTCCCAATCCTTTGCCAACACCGGAGCTCTCGTCACATGCGTCAAGAACTTCCCCGAGAGCCGCGGTGTCGTGTTGGGACTTCTAAAAGGGTTTGTGGGCCTCAGTGGAGCGATTATTACACAGCTTTATCATGCTATTTATAAAAATGATTCTAAATCTTTGATTCTTTTCATCGGTTGGTTTCCCGCGGCGATTTCATTTCTGTTTTTGAGAACAATTCGGATCATGAAAGTGGTTCGACACCCCAATGAGCTCAAAGTGTTCTATAATCTTCTCTATATATCGCTCGGTCTTGCCGGGTTTCTCATGGTCATCATCATTGTCCAACAACAGTTCCATTTTAACCAGGCCGAGTACGGTGGGAGCGCAGCTGTCGTCGTCTTTCTTCTCTTGTTACCGATCGCGGTAGTTATAAAAGAAGAATATGAAATTTCGAAGAAGAAGAAACAAGCCATGGATTCAATCACTCAGCTAAATATCATTTCCGACGAACCCATCGGAGAAACAGCTTTTCTACCTCCAGCCCCGCCGTCCGCCGCCGTGGAGAAAGAAGTTTCGTGTTTCAGGACGGTGTTCCGTCCACCTGACAGAGGCGAGGACTACACGATCCTCCAAGCCCTGTTCAGCATCGACATGCTGGTCCTCTTCTTCGCCACAATCTGCGGCGTCGGAGGGACTTTAACCGCCATAGACAACCTGGGTCAGATCGGAACTTCTCTCGGATACCCAACTCGGAGCATCAGCACATTCGTCTCTCTCGTTAGCATATGGAATTACCTCGGCCGGGTCGTAGCCGGTTTCGCCTCCGAAATCGTCTTAACAAAATACCAATTCCCTCGACCTCTTATGCTCACTCTCATCCTCCTCCTCTCTTGCGTCGGCCACCTCTTAATCGCCTTTGGAGTCCCAAACTGTCTCTATGTTGCCTCCATCGTCATCGGATTCTGCTTCGGGGCACAGTGGCCTTTACTTTTCGCCATAATATCGGAAGTTTTTGGACTCAAGTACTACTCAACCTTGTACAATTTCGGGTCCGTGGCAAGTCCTATTGGGTCATACATACTCAACGTGAGGGTCGCCGGACATTTGTACGATAGGGAAGCCGAGAAGCAAATGAAGGCATCAGGACTCACCCGAAAGCCCGGTCAGGACTTGAATTGCAATGGGGTGGATTGTTTTAAGCTGGCTTTTATTATAATCACCGGTGTGACCGTGTTGGGGGCGCTTGTTTCCATGGTTTTGGTGGTGAGGACTAGGAAGTTTTATAGGAGTGATATTTATAAGAAGTTTAGGGAGGAGGCGAAGGCGGCTGAGGCGGAGATGGCGGTGGCCGGAAATGGGGTTAGGCCGGCCGGGGGAGGGTGAGTGTTGGATTTTTGTACAGTGGGTAGATATGGATTAGGAGGAGAGAGAAATATGGAAGTGTAGATTGATCATATATACAGGTACACAGATATGAGACACAGATATGAATGAGAGGACAGGTATGGAGAGGTTGTGCCAATGTGCCATTGCTTTGTAATGTTCATTTTAGTGATGGTATGGTCCCTTGTGTCTTCTCTCCTTTTGCTTGCTTGTAAAACGACAGTCTTACATGTACCCAATGAAAGATAGTCTCAATTATATATTATACTTGTCATGTTCTGTGCTTTAAATCATACATGTTGTCAGTGGTCAATTAAATTGATCCAGAAGTGGTAACTAATAAACGATCCCAATCCAACCTCATTTAAAGTCTTTCACGAGTTGGTATTAATATATTGCATCACAATTGCACCCAATATATTCTTGCTTTCTTGAATGGTAAAATGAAACTCAAATTGTATTAGTATAATTACAGGGTTTTCTATTTTCTTAGAATAATAAAAATATGAACAAATTATATCAGCAGATTAGTACTTATAGTTTACTCTTATGTCATTTTTTTTCATGTAATTTCAATTCTAATAATTTACCCTTTAATTTTGTCTTTTGAGTTTAATATAGTCTGTCGAGTTTTTTCTCGATGAAAAATGGTATCCTGCTCCTCATTTTTTTGCACAGACAAAATGACAAAGAAAAAAAAAAAAATCAAAACTTAATTCGATTGACACTCTCTGTAGTTTGCCCTTTTTCTTAATTTGATCTCTTGTAACAAATTGTCCTTTATTTTTAGCAATTTGTATTTCATTTGTTGAATTTGAAACTGATTGTGATTATTTTTGGAGTAATTATTTTGTCTTCTAAGAATTTTAAGTTGACTATGTGTTCAACCAACAGTACAGGATTAAATGAATATATGATTTTAATAATAAGGAGATGATGAACAAACTATAACATATGCACATGAACACGTGATTTTCTTGATATATTTAAATATATATGTATATATATATATATATTTTTTGTGACTAAATTAGGTAAAAATTTTTTTTTATAAATATTAGTACATGCAACTTATATTGTCACTCTAGGGTTGTTTGGAGTACACTATTTTAGCACATCTTTTTATTTATTTGGATCATATCACCTTTCTATCAATTATATACTTTTTTGAAAAAAATTTAAAAATATATTTATTTAGACATTGGTGTACCTATCTTGAAAGAACATGGAAAAGAGATGGGGAAAACCGATAGTGAACGAGTTTCCTGGTGCATGTTGTTCCGACATTGAAGCCCTAACACATGAAAGTGGGAGAAATAGTGCATTAAAGACATTAAAAGAACATGGAATAGAGATGAGGAAAGAGTTTGTGATTGTTGTCATTGAGAGAGAAAAGGCATAGAAGTGAGAAAAATAGGGCATAGAAGTGAGAAAAATAGCCAAATGCTGGAAAAGTTTAGGAAGAAAACAAGAGGGAGTAAATATTAGATATAAAAGTAATATTGCGTAGTGATATTAGTATTTAATGAGTATTTTTGATTTGTAGTAAAAATTATATCATTGTTGAATTTGTAAAAGAAAATAATTATCTATTTAATATAGGGATATTTTTTTTCAGGTTCCTGGTATTATGATTTTATAGCATAAATGACACCAAATATTTTCATAATGTCTAAGGTCCATCAACAATATTTTCATAATGTCTAAGGTCCCTCAACCTTGATCTAGAGAAATTTCAGTCCAGAGAAAATTGGTCCAGAGAAATTCTGGCCTAGAGAAATTTGGTCCAGAGAAATTTTAGTCCAGAGAAAATTGGTTAGAGAAATTCTGGCCCAAAGAAATTTCTCTGGATGAATTTCTCTACTTTTCTTCTCATTTCCCCGATACTATAGTGGTGATCAAAGGTAGGCCAAGCAAGCATACAATAATAATTTAATGATAGCAAAACTAATAACATCTTAATAACAAAACTTAGAAGCACATTTAATCAAAACTAACTAGGAAAGTTTGGATAACTTCAGTTGTAAGTGAATGGATTCATGCCTGTGTTTTACAAGATGACGACGGACACCAGAGAATTTCTCTGGATTTAAAACTAGAGAAATTTTCTGCATCACAAAAAAAAAAAAAAAAAAAAAAAAAAAAAAAAAACAGCAACAGCAACCCCGAGAAATTGTTGCATCTTCAGGCATACTTTCGCAGCAGAGTGACTGTATCACCGTATTTCAACTCAGCTATTGCACCTGGTCATGCCCAGAGAAATTTTTTGGGTTGAGAGAATTTCTTTGGTTAGGAATTTTCTCTGGATTGTGGAGTCCAGAGAAATTCTCTGAGTGGGAGAATCTCTGAAAATGTTTGTCTGAGAATTTCTTTGGGTTTGGGGAGTCCAGAGAAATTTCGACAGTGGTCGAAGATCGTCGCCTCAAAGCCGTGAGAGAAACCACTCTCAGAAGTAATCAATTCCCAAGGTAAAGGCAGACAACCAGTGACATTCTTGGTTCGAACTAACCATACCAGAGAAAAACCAAACCCACCATCATATATATATTGATTTGATTTGATTTGTAAGAAGTATTATCTGAGACCGAACTGCAGAGCAAAAACACAGAAAGTTGGATTCATCAAATTAGAAGTAGAAGTAGGGCAAACGATCAATATCAATATTCAATATATAGGTTAATATAATGCACTTACCTCAAAAAAAAAGTATGAAGTGCTGTTTGTATATAGATGTATAAATGTTTATATGTATGTATGTATAGATTGAAGGAAACACTTGGGTCTTCTTTCCTGGAAACAATAATAGTCTCCTCCAAAGAAAACAAGAGTAGATTGAGAGAGAGTAAAGATAGAGTGGTGATTCCGAGGCAGTGTGATTTTCTTGGACCCCAAATAGACAGAGAAAAAAGAACAATGCTATCCAGAGAAATTTACTCCCTGGCCTTTCATACAAACTCCCACATCTTCACAACAACCTACACAACGTACCCCAAACCAGCGGCACGCGCAAGAATAGGACCCCCGGAAAAATGCCATTGGCGCCGCGTTTTGACATTATTAAACTTTTATGATTTAATTGATGGTGCAAACCGTGGAGAGTTAAAAGGGGATAAATAGTCTATGAGTTTGGGTAGTGAGTCGAGTGGTTTTGAGTTGCGTATTGTATTTTGTACCCACGTGGGGAGTCAAGGTGCCCAATTGCCCTGTCTATGCATACTACTGGACAAATGTAGGAAAATGTTTTTGGGGGTCCACGAGCCCACCGTTTCTGTAGTCGGCAAATATAGAAAAACATTGGTTTGGGTATATGCATTCTATTTTTGGAGTCAACAAATGCGGAAGGGAAAAATGTTTTTGGTGCCCATCGCCCTGCCGTTTCTAGAGTCCGAAAATGTGACTATTTTAAGTATACAAAATCTATATCTATGTATGTATTTTGAATTTCAGCTCTTACTTGGAAGGTCATTATGATGACCCCAACATCCATATCATGCTTATAATTATTTAATTATGTTATTTATTAATTGTGATATGTGCCGTGTGATTTATTTGAGTATATCTATTCAATTTGGAAACTATTTGTTGATCATAGGAAAATCTGTTATGACTTTTGCTCTGAATCTGAAATTGAAGGCCTTAACGACGTTAGAAACTGTAATTGAGTACATGATTAGACTAATTGGAATTTTTAAAACCTTATGGCAAGTTGGATCAAAATTGATTCAGATTAATTAATTAAGTTGTGTTTGATTGGTCTAATGTGTTAATTGTTGTATTAAACTACTCCAACTATATATATTGAGCCTTAAGCTCATTTGAGCTCAACTCTTCTTCATTTGGAGCTCCCAATATCTTACTATACATTGTAGAGAGAGAGAGAGAGAGAGAGAGAGAGAGAGAGAGCTCTCATCTAGAGAGAAAATGTGTAGAGATTGAAGGGTTAACTTGATTTGGTTAAAGTTTGTGCAAGAACAAGTGTGTTTGAAGCCTCTAAGTGAAATTTATCTCTTAATTCTTGAAGATAATGTGTTCTAGAGTTGTGTACATTGATTATATATGACCATTTGCTTGTATGTTGATAAATAAAGTCAAGAAAGTGAAGAAGCTCTACATGCATGTAGTAATATGTTGAATTTTTGCCATGTTGAGTTTGAATTCTAGTACTCATGTTGAAATTGGCGGTTAAATTTGTGCATGTTGAATTTGTGTATGTATGTTTCATCCATCATGTGTTGGTTCGTAAATTCATTTTTTTGGAAATGAGTTTTGTACATGCATGAGCCTTTAAGCTCAAATTTGTCAAGTTCATGAGTTTTGAAAAGAATGAACAACAATTCATTACATGCAAGTCAAGAACATAGAGCTTTAAACCTTGTTTTGGAAATTAAAAGGGATTTGAGTATGTGGTTTCATAATTTTCATGAATTTATGTACTCTGGAAGGTTTCTACATGTTTCTAGTAAGTCATGCAAGCCTTGAACATGAAAGATGCACTTTTGAACTTTAAGAGCAATCTAGAAAACCCAGAATATTTGCAAACTGCTCAAGCAACAAAGTGTGCACTCGAGCGAACTTGACGAGCTCCTAGTACTATTACAGTTCTCTTACAGACGGCTTGAGTGACCAAGTGTGCGTTCGAGCGAACCCTTCGTATATTGTTGGACCGCTCGAGCGACCAAATGCTGGCTCAAGTGCAGATTTGACCCATCCAATACTTTTGTAGACCTCTGCGACCACTCGAGCGACCAATAGTTGGCTCGGGCGAAGACCCTTATTTCTGCATATTTTGACAAGTCTTTATGTGTTCATATCTTCGTTTTCATCTTCTCTGGAGCATTTCTAAGCATAAATTGTGACTCAATAAGGAACTAATAAGTGAGAAACCCACATGAATGATTGAATTAGAAAGAGAAGATGAATTATATGATTTGAACTATGTGTTCCAATGCGTGTAATGTGTAGGTTTGACCATTGTGGAAGGATAACAACCTACTCAAGGTGAGTAATGTCTTTGTAACGGTATTTTAGTACGAATTACTTTGAAAGTAGTTTTACTATGCAATGAATTATGAAACCTACACTTTGTATAAGTAATGAGATATGATTCAAGATTTTCGAACAAGTACTTTAAGACACTAAGCTATGCTCTGAAACTCCGAATTGTGTGAAATGAGATAAGATTTCCGAAAATGTGATTTGCTAAGAATGAATGAGTTTCCTTTGAACGATGACATGAAAATGTGCTTTGACCATTCGGTAACCACAATTTCGTTT